CCGGCACCCGGCACCAGCACCAGCAACCTGTCTCCACCACGTGCACAGCCAGCTCACAGCACCAGCACGGGCAGCCGGCACCCAGCTCCAGCACCGGCACCAGCAACCTGTCTCCACCGCGTGCACAGCCAGTTGACAGCACCAGCACCAGTTACCCAGCAACAGCAACCTGTCTCGAAAGCGCGCACGGGCAACTCATTGTTATTTGAATCAAGAACCCTATAGCTTCGCTATCTGGGGAACAAGTAAGGAAACAAAACTACCACCGTCGTGCGTGACAGCGCGGAGACAAGGTTCCGAGCCAGTGCCCACAGCAACGGAGAAGCCGAGGCATCTCGTCGGGAGATGCTAAGGAGAAAGTGTTCTCATTTTTTTCTCACTGAAGCCGCAAAAAGAAAAGGCCCGGCGCACAAAGTCGAAATCAAGAAGGCCGAGAAGTACACATAGTTCCTGAAAGGTTGATGGCTTCAGCATCCTCAACCCGTGTTGGCAAGAAGGAAGGTCTCCTCTGGCCAATGCAGTTGTTCACAAAGGGGCAGTGATGGTCAAACCTGATAAAGGCTGAGAAGAGGCAAAACATCAGCAGGATCGTGCAAATCATTTGTCCAAATATGTGCAAATCAATAAAGGGTTCAGAGATGAACGTAAGAACACAATTGCCACAATCATCGCAATGCGATGTTCGCGGAGGTCGGACAACCTTGGCAGTCACTGGTGCAGATTGGTGGATAGCAACGTCGTGACTGGTCTCCTGCCTGGCAAGTGGAGCACCACTTGTAACCTTGTCCTTGCCGCCTTAGCGAGATTCGGCTGGCCTAGCAGTGGATTTTTTGTATACCCTGAAACCAAGACTGGGATCACAACAAATCCGGCAGATTTGGAGGCGTCAAGCCATCTGAAGCCTTGACTTTTCCGGACATTGGTTCTCAAAGTTGACATGATCCGCATGCATCGGCTGCGCAAGGCAGCGGCACAGTCCCGCAGGTCTTCAGGCATCTCGAGCACATTGCTCACTTCTTCATCCAACCTTGGATGAGTCGCGGGAAGAATGGAGGCAATAGGCGCGTTACCCATGCCAGTAGCGTTCTTGTTGCTAGTAGCTTCTTGCTCCTAGTAGTAAGGCCAGGAGCTACTAGTAGCGTCCTAAAGTCATGTCCTCCAGCCTCTACGTGTCCAGTCATGTCCGCTCACATCCTGCAAAACGGCAAGTATACAAGTGTCATGCCCTGGCAGCATCATGCGAAGTCTGCGGCGAGGCAGAATTCCTGTTTCGTAGCTGACTGACCCGTGTTCACATTTGAGCATGGTCACTTCACATTGATCAAGTGCCTATCATACTGTTGTGGTCCTGGGTCTGTGCACGAAGTCAGCAGAAGAAAAGTTATTGTGGCTACTAGTACCTGTGGCGGCGCACTTTTGCGAATGGACCGGTTGCATGGCCACAAGTTAGGCTGAGGTCAGCACCACTCCTGTAAGGATTGGCAGCCAAAAGCAAATATTCCACAACTTCTGAGAACCTTAAAGTGCCAACAAGTGTCTGTCAACATGTGTAAACCAAAGATCAGCAAATGAGAGAAAAGATAGTTGACCGGAAAGGTGGGCAAGCCGCACCAAAAAAGTAGGTCAATATAGCGAGGGTTTACATGTCTGGATTCAATCAAGCTTGTCCTTCAACGGCTTCAACTACAATCCTTCAGATACTGCAGCGATTCCGTCTATGCCAAGAAGACTATCCCTGTTGTGATCTGGACTCACTTTCTTCCATTGCAATCTGGTTTGAGGCTCTGAGCTGGAAACAAAATGCAAAGTATAATCCAGATGGAATAAGAATGAAAAACCTGGGAGCAAGATGGAGCAAGCGCAAAGCTGAACCACATGGACAAAATGCAGCAAGTGCCACCAAAAGGGTTGTCTAGGAAGCAAACCATGCACACAAGTTGTACCAAAGGTCGATCTTCGGGCCCGTCACACATCGGCCACAACAGCAGAACCTTTGGAGCAATCATCTTGTCTTAGTTAAAAAGCAATCGTCAAACAAGCAGGTGCTCAAACAAGCAAGTGCTCACTCCTCGTCTGTGTGCTTCCAAGCTCTTGCCAAACTTCATAAACCCGAGGGGTAAGCCTTGGAACAAAACAGCTGCTCACTGTTTGCTATCTGGAAAGGAAGGTGTCACGCTTTGGCAATCCTCAGTTACGCACTGATGATTGTTGAGCCTAGTCAGTGGGCTATGGCTATGGGGCCGGACAAGGTCTATCCCTGTCTGGAGGCTTCAAACGCTGCGAGCTATCATCGTCTATGTTCACTACTGTCTATCTGGAGGTTGGACCTTCCCCGTCGACGAGTCTCTCAAGGATTTCAGTCTTTGTGGGCGCCAGGCGGGTGTGTCGCATGAGGACCTGCTCAAGCAACTGGTTCTCCAAATGTCTTCCCACACACCATGCTAAGCTTAGCACGGCCAAACAGGGTATCTCGCGAGTTGCCCATCCCTAAGACCTAGAAGGAAACAAAGGAACAGAAACTCCGAACAGTTCAGCCTTCCTTCAAATCTCTGTGTAAAATCAAAGGCAAGTGCAGGCCACAGAGTGGACATTGAGCTCACGCTGCTCAGGGGTGCCTGCGTGAAGTGTCTTCAGGCAAACCAGCTACATCAAGTGCCGACTGATCTCCAACCATCCACGACCCTGTGGCTTGCCGGGTCCAACTCTCAAGAATGTCTTGATTCGTCTTGGTTTGTAGATTTAGACGAGGGCCTTATTAAAGAGACACAAGTCCACCTTCTTTGTCATGTTTACTTCCAAATGTACAAATCGCATTGTGCATTGATGTACTGGTGAAGCCAAAGCGGCTTTGAGCCGCAAGGTCTCTCAAGCTCTGTGGCAAGTGACTACTAGTGATTAGAGCACCAAGCGGACCAAGCGTTCAATAACTATGTGTCAGGGTTGTTTAAAGGATGTTTAAGGCTTTTTAAAGCATGCATTAAAGTACCTGCCAAAGAGGCCGGGTTGTTGCAGTGGCACTAAAGATCTTGGCTTTTTCCTCGGGGCCAGCAGCACAAAAACCTGTCCTAGCCTAGGAAACTGTGTCTTAGCTTTCAGATGCTTTCAGCAGGTCGAAAATGTTCGATTTGGAACCAATCCCCAACGTTGGTGATCAATTCAAAACCACTTGCATGGACAGGATATGACTTAGAAGGGCCACATGGAGACTGCAAGCAGTGCAGGGATTCCAGAACTGATAGAGTCTATGGATGGTATTTCACGCCTCAATGGACGGAGTTGCAGCAGGTTGTGAACTCTGTGAGCGCCTCGAAGAAATGCAAGTATCAAATGGAAAACATAGTACAAGAAATCATAAGTCGTCCGTGATCGGTTTGTGGAAAAGACACTTCGAACTGTTGTGGTAAAGAAAACAAAGCGAACCCAAAGTGTATTGTTTCTCTGAAAAAGAATACCTGAGGGAGTGACGAGCCATACTCAGCAGGGTTAATTTCCATCGAACGTCAGATTCTGACGTTCAACGGAACAGATTGTTCTAAGCTTTGCCCGGGTTGTTGTATCGGGTAGAAACCGTAGAAACCTACAGTAGAGGACAGAAAAATCTCATTTTGTATGGCATCTTTCGAAGTCTCTTCTGGAATTGCTCACCATGTTGCGTCTCAACCCTTGATATGTGTGCTCTTCAAGAGTCCGCTTGTGATGTTTATGCATCACCTATCATGTGCAACACCTCACGCAACTATAGGGTACAGTGCTTCTTCAGTTCTTGCTGTTTCTTGAATCATAGTAGCTTCTTGCTGCTAGTAGTAAGGCACTTGTTACTACTAGGAAGGCACCTTGCTACTAGTAGTTTCTTGCTACTAGTAAACGTTGCCCTAGCTACTGGTAGCGATGCACTTGTTACTACTAGTTTCTTGCTACTAGTAGAATGAGATTCTGCAATGCTCTTTTTCAAAGCGTCCGTCCACAGCAATCCAAATGAACTGCAAGCTGCGGCATGAACAAAGGCCAGGGAAAAACACCAACTGCCAGAAGCTAACTTACTTCTGCAAGAACCAGAAAAAGAAACAAGACATGGATTCGTGTGGCGATGTTTTCCGTCTTGCTCTACATTTTACTCGTCTTGGCTCTTGTGCCTGGCAATTCTGAGACCATGTTGAAAGTTTCTACACTGAATGATGAGTTGCGTCTTTCTTCAATTTGTGACTTCAAGTTGTGGGTGTTTGGCATTCTTGATTACTGTCCTTCGCACCTCCGTTCTTGGCCGTGACTTTGCGGCCAATCTCGAGACTCCAAACTGACATTTTCCTCGGCTTTCACCTTGGCCCCGTTCAATGGGCAGCTCAGGACTACCGGAAGTCGGCAAGCAAGATCACATCAGTGGAGACCCAAACCATGCTTAGATTTGGAGACAAGTGGAAGACCATTTGGAAAAATATATGGCACTACACTACCTTTACCGACAGATGAGCAGGCAAGTTCAGGCAAGCTGGAAGACAAAAGTCATGCGTTCAGTCAGACTTTACAAATCTAGCTATTCTAGCTAACACATTGACAGCACCCAGCGTGACAACGTCACGTGCAACGGGGCTGATTGAGTCTTTCACGATGTCAACCACGACAGCGTGACATAAATCGAGGCTCAATGAAGCATGGATATAAACCCATTCACAGTGTCGCTGGGGCTACCAGTTGTGACGAGTCGGAGAAGGGCGGCAAAGTTGGAGAGGCGGAGACGCCCAACATGCGCACCAGTTGTGTCAGAGAGATGAACGTGGATTGGATGTTGAGCAGGAGAGAAGGCCACCAAAGGCACACTCGCTACATGTTGGCTTGAGGGTAAGCACACAGAAAGCTGGGAGACGAGCGACAAGACCAATTCCGCATCCTTTAGCCCACAAGGATCCAACCCCAAAAAGGATACGGGAAAACCATGGCAAATCGGCAAACCTGATTGAACACGAGTCTTTTGAAGACAAAGATCCTCGTAGCCCCCTGGACCGCGAACGCGCCCACCAAACTGAAATCCTTCGGCCCGCTCTTCAAGGGAGGACTAGCTTCTTTGAAGTTAAGTGTCCCTAAAAATTCAGGAACCAGATCATTAGTGCGAGCGTTTCTTCAAGGAAGCGTGAGCTATTCTGCGTCCTAGCTAGTAGCTTGCTATCGCCTGAAAAGTTGTTCCAAGGGGCTCCCAGAGCTTCAAAGGTTTTTGCAGCACGCCACAGTTTGCCTCAAAGCTGAATAAACTGTGATACATTGAAAGCACAAAACTATTTCCAGCTGCATGGAGGCCTGGTTGCAAATCGTAACGCTTCATGTCCAGGAGAGAGGATACCTTCAGGAACGAAGGAGTAAAAAAAACTATATTGTTTCTACTAGCTTCTTGTTATATACTACTAGTAAGGCACTTGTTACTAGTAGCCATGCACTTGTTCCTAGTAGCTTTTTGTCTTATTTTGTTACATAAACAAACATGTTTAAGAATCGACATTGCGTTGCCACCTTCTTGACCAATGCTGCTGATGGAGCCCATCCTGTCCTCGCGTCAAGCAAGTGAAATGGATCAATCACGCAAGGTGGTTGAGCGCAAGCTTTGTTCTCTCCTTCCTACGGTCTCCATAGCTTCTGCCAGGTTTATAAGCAAAGCAGCTGGCAGGTTTTCTGCCCTGGAAGAGCAACGAGTTAAGTTCTGCTCTGCAACAAAGCCTGCAAAGCAAGATATGCCTTGATCTCAGTTGCTCGTCAGCCAACTTTAAAGCTGCATCTCGCTCACCGGAGTCAGCAGCGCATCTGGACAAGCTCCAAAAGAGTTGCACCTGTGCAAGCTTGGGGGAGCTGTGAAAGTTGAGCAAGTTTCGATTTTGGAAAGCTCTGAATACTCTGTGTGTGTGTACAAAAGTAGTGAGTGGACATGTACGGCTACTACTACTACAACTAAATATGCGTGCTTTAAAACAACCCAACAGGATCCAACAGGTAATTTTAGAGTACCTCTGTGAGAGATCTGCCCGGCCGCCCGGCCAAATAGACATACGGAAACGAAATCACCGTCCGAAAACCCGAAAGCTTCCTAGCCTCCTAGCTATTTGAAGTTGTTCATTTCTTCCACCTTCTTTCCACAAATGCTTGGCCGCTTGCCTGTGAGTCCTCGACGTGTACGTATGAGTGGTGGCTTTCACTGCCCGCGAAACTGTCCTACTCCCAGGCCCACCATGTAGGACTGCAGGAAAGCCCGCTTCCATGCACCTCCGTCTAAGCTGTAGGAATGGCGGCTTTCAAGACCTGCGACTCGCTTCCTATGTGATGCCTCCTCCTTCCAGGCACGCCACATAGAAATGGCGGCTTTCAAGACCTGCGAGTCGACCCCCTTCAACCTCCGCTAGTAGGAATGGTGGTCTTCAAGACCTCAAAGTCAACCCTTCAGTCAACCCTTCAACCTTTATCAAGGCCCGCTTCCTACGTGGACGCTGCAACCTCCTTCTACCCAACCCACCATGTAGGAACGGCAATCAAGACCTTCGAGTCAACCCTTCAACCTCCCCAGGCCCGGTTCATATGTGGACCGTGCCACCTCCTTCCAGCACACCACGTACGAATGGCGGCCCTCAAGACCCCTTCAACCTGTCTGCGGCTTTCAAGACCTGTCTGCGGCTTTCAAGACCTGAGTCGACCCCTCAACCTTCCTTATATGGACCCTACCTCCTTGCCTACCACGTAGGAATGGCGGCAGTATGCGGACCCTGCCACCTCCTTGCCACCACATAGGAATGGTGGCTTTCAAGACCTGCCTCAACCTCCCTCCACACCGGCTTCCCATGTCGGACCTTGTCCCTCCTTCCAAACACCCCGGAGAAATGGCAGTTTGAAGGCTGCCTCCGCTTCCTATGTGGCCTCCTTCCGGAGCTGGCCGTCGCCCCAAAGCATACGGACAAAATGGTATTATATGTAATTGTTATACACTACCTCCATGGGAGTGGCCCGTAGCCTCGCCTCCACATATTTAAATGACGTAACCGTAATGCTCGTTGCTCTTTCGGCACTTTTTAGCAGGGGCGCAAGGCCTCCAGCGATGAACCTTATCCAACGAAGCTAAATCACTGGACGGGAAACGGGTCGTGCACCTGCTAAATTTGTGAATGTTGTAACCACCTTGCGGATGATACAGGTCAGACATGCTTCTTGGTTTTTGCGCTTTTGCACCATTGGGAACTCAAAGACTTTGAGAGTATGGAGGTTTTCCACCTTTTGGAATTGGAGTCGTCAGACTTACTCCTTGAATCTAGGACGTTTGGACATTGCTTCCTTGACCTGGAGTCTTCGGTTCCTTTTTAGGGCTTGGGGAGTCAGATCGTACATGTGTAGCTTTTTGAATCGAGAGAGAGTGTCCACTAGCCACCTTACAACGATGCTACATTGGATGAGGAGTTTGGGATACCAGGCTTCACTTTTGTGAATTCTTTTGGTTTGAAGCAATCTAGACCGGCCTAGTAGCTAGTAGGAATGCTCCTAGTAGCTATGCCAGGAGCCCCTAGTAGCGTCCTTGCTCCTAGTAGCGATGCCCTTTGTTACTAGCTGGACCGGCATGCATTCATTTCTTCTCCAAGATCTCTCCAACCGCTTGTATAGGCGCTAGTCAAACGCGCTCTCCTTACTCCTTGCCAAGCGGGTACATATCTTATTAGTTTCCTCACAGTGTGAGACAGTGGTTCTTGTGCTCAACTTGTCGGTCATCAGCTCAGGAGAAGGCTGTAGAAATCGCCGAAGGCTTTGCTTTGAAAGCGTTGCACACCTGCAGCTAAAGCAAATAATGGGAAAAACGGAAAGAAAGAGACTCTTCAAATCTAGCCACTAGTCAAGTCGACCTGACCAAACTTCAATCATGTTCGCCTGAGGCAGCAAAGCTGCTAGGCGCTTGCCAGCATCCGGAAGGGTCTTTGAAGGCTGCATAGCGATACCCTGCGGCTGACGGGCAACAAATGTAGCACTGTTGTCCTGTTGTCTTGGTTTGTATACCTCCCATGATCTTATCGTCCCTCAACACAAGGCAAGGGGATCTTCCACTCAGTTGAAACTCTTGGCAAGGGCTTCTATGCACAAAATCAATAACTCTTCACTCTACCAGCCAGTCTTAATCACGGAGGTCCTGGCACAGCTTGGCCAACATTCGCGGTGAGATGCCTGCCTGAAAACAAAATCCATGAGCCCAATGAGCCCACCTCTGCCTCTCCCTGCACATCAACCCACCCTTTCATTGTTGTTGATTTAGGTCGGGGGCGATCGGAAGCTTACATGGCTAAAGAAATGTGTCTATGAGTCTATGTGTACTTCCCATGACTTTGCCTGGACATGGCTTTAATGACATTTGCACGACACGGCATGAATGCCACATGGCCTCCATGGCAACTTGCCTTTGACATTCATCCAGAATCTCGGCCAGCACCTGAAAAACAGTGCAGCATTCCGCACAGACCAGCCTATTAAACTGCATAACCGTGGTACCCATCGCAGCCCTCTCCTGTGAATCTTCTGGCTGAAGATAACCCAGGCTCCTGAGACGGTTCAGTCCAATGAGTTCTTTCCGTCTTTCGGCGTCAGCACTTTCCTCACCAGTAACAAGTGCATCTCTAGTAGTAACAGGTGCCTTACTAGTAGTAACAAAGAAGCTACTAGTAACAAGTTCATATATAACTTTTGTCGTTAGCACTACTTCTTAGGGTCTTTCCTCGCGATTGAGGTAAGCTGGTCCGCATGGAACTCATCAAGCCGAGGGTGGAGCTCCTGCCAGATCAAAAATTCAAAGGAGCCTTTAAGGTAAACCCACAATTTCTTAGTCCACTTGATCCGATCAAACAACGACCCACCAGTTCTTCCACAACCCGGTGGACATGTCAGCCAGGGTCTTCCCGCCATACATAGTCTGTAGTCTATCATATTGCCAATCTCGGGGTCTGCGACCTGTGAAGAGAGCATCTTAGCCCAGCTCTTTGGTCACACAACTGCAGTTTTGGTTCATGAGGACCTCTTTGACTCAGCGAGGCCTGTTTTGAGTGTCGATGAGGGTGGTGGCACCTTGACTTGTTCTTCTGGGATCGTCTGCCCGTCCAATTAAACGAGTTTGCAGCACCGCAAAAAATTACAACAAAAAAATAAAGGACTACCTGCTCTACATTTGAGCTGTGTCTTTCCTTGGTGCATCTGACTCAAGTAGATCTTGATGTGAATTTTTCCCCAAACAGTTTACTGCTGGGGTTCTACCTTAGAAACTGAGCTGGCCACACTCACTGGCCGCGCCCTTGAAATCTGTGGCTGGGCTCTGTGTCCAGGCCTTGTCCTCGTCTTGTCCTCTGTGGCTGGGCTCTGTGGCTGGGCTCTGTGTCCAGGCCTTTTCCTCCTCTTGTCCTCCTCGTGGCCGCGCCCCTGACCTGTGGCTGGGCTGTGGCTGGGCTCTGTGTCCAGGCCTTGTCCTCCTCTTGTCCTCTGTGGCTGGGCTCTGTGGCTGGGCCTTGTTCCTCTTGTCCTCTTCTTGTCCTCTTCTTGTCCTCCTCTTGTCCTTGTCTTGGCCGCGCCCCTGAACTCTGTGGCTGGTCTCGGTGGCCCGGCTTACTGGACAGGAGTGTGGCCGAACAAATAGCGATGTCAATGCCGACAAAAATTCATTGATGAAGCAGTTTGCTCTTGGGGTGAAGGTAGGGCGTACCAAGAAATCGATTTTTGACTAATATTGGTCTAAACGAATCGTTTTGAAGCTGTTTGGGGTCTATGCTGGTATAATTGTATAGTTGAAGCCGTGGGAGGCAGGAAATTGTTCAGCCCGGAGTTTAGCAGCACATGTTTCTCGCACAAAATGATGCACATATTGTCTGCTAAGACTTCTGCTGACTACAGGTGTTTGCATACTTATCCCATTATATAAAAAGGGGATTTTCTTGCTGCAATCTGCACTAACCTGCACTCTGTTTGGTAAAGCGGCGGAAGCCTTTTTCCCTTCCCATGACGGATCTGGCTTTGATTTTGCTCGCGCAAGCCAACTTTTTGGCTATCCAGTCGCAGGCCGAGAGGCAACCACACATTGGTATGTATATAAATAAGATACCGCACATTATATATATAATACACGTAAAAAATGCAACAGGGACTCATGATAAGTTAGTAGAAATATCAGTCAGTGTACACAGAAAAGGAAAAACACTTGAAAACTGCGGACCTCAACTTAAACGCATCTTGAGATAATGTTGGGGGCGACATCCCAACTTGCACCACATGTGTGCACACCTGGCTGCTTACTGCAGTCTGCACGCCAAGTATGGACTTTGATGCTTAGGGGAAAGCATCCGTTTTTGTGAGTTTGCTGCCTGCAGTGAACAGCCCCAACCCTGCCTACCGGCCGGCTTGGACTATAACTTAGCCGTAGCCCCCTCTGATGCTGAAGTCCCACTTCAGACACTCACTTTTCAAACATTTCGGGTCGTGGAACGATTGAGTTTTAATAGGACAGACTGCAAAAAAAAACGACAAATTGTTGCCATCCGTGGCCTGCGCTGAGTGTCACATCGGTATCACCCGACCAAAAAGCAATCCAACCCACCAATGTGGATCACTAAAAAAGTCCGCAGTTGCAATGGTTGTACGATCTCGCTTGACAAGCTGTCGAGCGCCGTTTGATGAAGACTGTTGCGTTTCAGCAATTACGCGCTGCTCAAGTGAAGAGTTGACTTAGTTTGCATCTCTCTGGAACATTGTCTCAAACGTAGCAAATATCTTGCGGGGAGGGGATAACCTGGGTAAAAAGAATACGACACAGGAAAACCCTGCAAGTTTGAAGAATGAATTTGTTTTGTAATGGATGATCAGTGGGTCAACTCCAACCTTCTGAGGGTGAGGATCAAATGCCGGCCATCACATCCCAGCAAAGTGAACACGAGTCTACCCACTTACGGTTTTAGGTTTGGGTGTCTTGCATGATGAACATTGTACGTTGCCTGTGTTATAAGTCTGGTTGCCAGATTTTCTCATCGAATCATATTCCTTTCTGGCGCAAAAGAAGAAAAGGGGCAAGGGACACACTCAAAAAACACGTGGGGCACAATTGGCAACCCAGCTCCCATAGCACAACCTTTTGCCACAACCTTGTCCTTGTTGTTGTTGTTGTTGTTGTTCATATTGTGGTTGATTTTCTGGTTGCTGGTGGTGGTTCTGTGTGAATGCAGATCTTTGCCCGATTATCTCTCCCTTTGTCTCACATCCACATGCGACTCAATAGCGCAAATCGAGCCAATGAGCGACATGGGCACCATCTGCACGATGCTTGGCGTTCAAACTCGCCGTATGCCCTCAATGCCGTCCTCGGAATTCTGGTGGGTTTGGGTCGACCATTGAACATGGAGCCTCGCCTTAAGCTTTCCTTAACTTCCGACTGCTTCATTGACTCGAATGTTCCACACATTACCAGCTGGATCCCGCACCCTATAGTCTTGAAGGTCTCAGGCGCAACAGTCATACAGTCTGCCAGGTACTCACGTTGGTGGCAGTGGGGGGAACCATCACGGACCGCTGCTGGACAACTCATCATGGCAACCGCGACTGTCCATCATCAAAACGCTCTCAACCATCAACTTCATCAACGCCAACTTTTCTGGCTCAAGGGAATGCCATCATAAGTCAAAGCCCACAAGACCCTCATCTTCCAACCTACATCCTCTGCAACACAGACCACCTGCACCTCTGACCTGTTAGGCCTCGAACGCGTAGGTCTATCAAGCTTCCACGACCTACAGTCCAGCGCGCGCGCAAGAAACCCCGGACAGAACGCTACACATGTGACGTATCACGGACGGTTTCACCTTGCACAAACAAATTCTCTCCCGGGAAGCTATGAAAAACAAGTCCTTCTTGACTGGTCTGATTGAACCCTGCAAAACGCGGTCGGCTTCAGACAGCTTTTCTACGTCGAGCCTTCATGAACTCTTCTGGCCTGAGTAAGCTCGCTGGCGGTGAACTTATCGTCTTTGGTTCTCTCCTGGTCCTTCCCTCTCTGTCGACACTGGCTTCGGCTCATCGCAGATCCTGCGAAGGCGAAACCCTTCTTCCACGGACTCCACCGGTACGGCTTAGAACTAGGGTCACCGCGCAACAAAAAATCGTCGATACGGTGCCCATTCTCCCGCGCTTTTTTTGAAAAGCAATGCCACTGTGTTGGATTCCCCTCTGCGCGTCAAACAAAAAAATCCCTGGGAGCGGCCGTCAATCCATGATGGCTGCCGCAATCTCCGGGTCGTCTTCGGTGAAAGAGCCTCCTGCCTTCTTGCTTCTGAGAGACGTGAAGAAGCGCTGAACGGGTATCTGCGCATTCTAAAGCACGCTTGTCCAGAGCTGCTGCTTGCACTCATCTCTTTTCTAAGCCGATCAGGCCAATACGCGCTTTGGCTTCAGACAAAGCTTCCTCTTGTATAATTCTGGCCGAACTTCACTTGAAGGACCTTGAACTTCAAGTGAGAAGCCACCTCATTGGGGCGCGTCTGAAGTCGCCCTGGCTCTGGCCATGGGTTCCCCCACCAGCCCTTAACTTTACCTTGAGGTGTGAGATTTCAGGAGTTGATCTCTTAAGTTGCTTGCAGCGTGTTCTTCGCGTACAGAGTGCCTCCACCACCAATGAAAGATTTGGTGATGTGGATGGCCAAGACCCCCTCACACATATCTCCTACCTTATCACCAGCATGAAGCCTCGCACCTTTTTCTGCTGCCTTCGCAATCTGTCTGTTCGCAAGGACGTTGACGGCTGAAAGCTTTCAAAGCGTCTTCCCATTCCTTCGCTCGGGCCGTCAGACTCTCATAGGCTTCCTCCGCAACTGCCAAATCATGGCCACCATCTAGATGAAAGCGCCCCGCGTGATTCATGTCCTCGTCAGCAGCATTGTGACAGGTAAACCATTGGTCTAGACTCCTCCGTCCTCTTGCCACTCCTCCGCACTGCAGTGGTGAAGGAAGTGCGTCTGCCGCTTGGTCAAAACCAGGTTTATGCTAAACGTTCACGAGGTCACCTGTTTCAAAACGTCGGGTAAGCGATAACCACTTTACAGCGCTTAGTCATGTGCGACAAGGCCGGGGCACAGACTCTGGCATCCTAAAGAAAATCCTCATCTCCGCAAAGATTTCTGGCTTTCCGCTTGGTCGATGTTGGAACGGGGTTCGATGACGTTGTCCTCGTGCATAAACAACGAACCTGACTTCACGTCGAAGTACCCAAGCTTGTTCCACGCGGCCGCACCAATCGCCCCTCCTCTTCTCCACTTCGCGGCCATATCCAACAACGTCCAGCCTAGTATCACGTCCAAAGCTGCCAAGGCCCCAGGACATCTTTGCCTTGAAGCTTTTCACGTTCCTCCTCTGAGGCCTCTGCTCCTCTGAGCTCACTAGCCTCATGCTCTCCATAGTACCATAGAAAAGCGATGCCTCAGGCTCCATGCCAAAGAACCTTTTGAGATCGGCCTAAGTCACGTTGCATCCATCGCGCAAAAGCTTCTGAAGTACCTTCAGCGCTTCGTCATGAACTTTCTCTTCCCTCGCCAAGAAGCCGGGGACCCTCTCACCTGGGCGCTTGGCCTGCGCTCGGCAAAGCTTGTCGGTCGAGAGGTGAAGAAGCCGATCAGTTTCTGCACCGGGGCCGAGCTGGTACATCAACTGCGTCAAGGGGGGCTGTCCTGACTGCAGCTTTCCTGACAGTCCGGGCAACAAGCAGAGCTCTCCTTCGAAGATGAAAAGGTTCATGCGACCTCATGGGTGAAGCGGAAGAATACGCTTCATAGTAATAGGGCATCTGGCTCCATGATTTCTCATTGGCCTCCATTAGAGCGCAAAAAAAAGGAAGGTTCTCCTGGCTCATGTGGCCCCGATCTTCAGGTGCTCCATGTGACCAATCACTCACATGCGACTCAAAAGTGCGCAAATGGAACCTAAATGTTTTCTTTGACTCAAGTTGGGCCCAGCTGCAAGTGAAACAAACGCTAATGCATGCATGCCAGCTAAAGATCGCACACAAGTGACACTTTGCATCACTTTGCAAGTCATGTTTAAGGTTTGTTGCTGTTGCCAAATTCATATGTTCACATGTGGAGAGTGCAAATGTCAAAGAGCCCAGAAGAATACAGAGATGAGCCACAAGGTAAATCACAAGCATGTCAAGACACAGGAAGTGAGTGTCTGTTCGGCATGCTTTACAGATGAAAATAAACAATAATATACAATAATGACAAGGGATCAGAAACGACAAATTCACACCTGAATCTGAAAGAAGGATCAATCAACTACAGAGAATGATGAAGAACGGCTTGAGCAGGGTGACACACATCCGGCCCAAAAGTTCCAACCTGAGAAATCTAGAGCCTAAAGGTGAAGCTTTAGACTGTATTCTTGCTCGTGTGCTTTACATCAGAACTCCGAGCACTGAAGCGTCCTGAAGACACTGTTCCTGATGTTCTACCTAGCCAAGTGCATGAGCGGGCAAGTTAGTTCCTCAAGCAAAGAGCTCGCCATTGTCTCCACTCCCCCAAGTCCAGGCTGAGCTCTGCCTCAGTTACTCCAAAGCTCCGCGTTCTCCAACTCCCAAGCGTTTCAAGGTGTTGGCTGAGGGCATCCAGCATCAAAGTCAGCGCCTTCTAAACGCAGCAGGTGTTTATCAAAGAGGTCTTTCACAAGAATGAAACTTATGGCAAGAAGTTGAACCAAAAGCCGTTCAGTAACACAGGATGCCACATGCACCTCGGGTTCAAAGCTGCTGAAGCCCAAATGCAAGATTCGCTGTCCAATAGCTCCCTTCAAAACCTGCAACTAACATCGCAACGATTTCACTTCATTTTAGTTGGTTGCAACCAGTCTCAGGACATCAGTCGGAGCTTTTTCAAGAACTGTTGTGAAATCCAAATAAAATGCCAGAGTCGCCTTCTTTCCCACAACGGCTGGACCACGCAAAAAGGCACCTGAATACGCATCACAACTTTACTGAGGGCGTTTCTACCAATCTAGGTTTGTCAACTGCCCCGTCGCGTGCCTGCTGCATAGGCACAGTCAATGGGCGACATCTTATGAGCTTCTTCAGCCAGTCGCCGAGCAGCGTTCTGACATGACAAATGATGTCTGCTCTTTTCATCGCATGCTCAAGAGGAAATCGTTAAAAAAAATGTACAGTAAAATTAAAAGGAAGACCGCCACACTTAGAGAATAAAACGTACTGTAAAGTGTGGAAAACCCGAAACGATTACAGTCAACGAACTTACACCTTCTTTTGCAAGCTCCACACTGACAGCTCTTTTTAAACACGATCATTGACTACCAAACCGACAGCCTGCTGCAAGAGAAAAGTCCAAACAACAAGAACACCAGAAGAATCTGTGACAAGGGCAGCCCTCCTGCCCCTGGCCCTTGGAAACTGGAATAATATCCCAGTTGCCCACACAGCAAGTTCCAATACCACTTCACGTCCCGAGAAACTACTACTTGATGTCGGCAGCAAAAAGGCACCAACCACGGTATGGATCCTCGATTACATACTGCTTCGCAAGACCAAAAAACTACCCGGTTGCTAGGGTGAAAAAACACCACCTCACCGGCAAATGTTTACCACCTCTGCAGTCAAAGCTCACCAACGCTGGAAAATGTACCATGGGGCACCAAGACCAAAGTTGCAGCATTTTACTTGCCTAAAAACGTGCCACTTCACCAAACACACGATTGTGACCAGTAGCAACCTACCGCTTAAGCTTAAGCGCAGAATCTTCACTGGCAGGGAGTCACGACATTCTAAGCCGTGCAAACATACTTAGCAGCTTCACCAGCGGTGAAGGGCACCAAGCCTAACCACTTCAACATCGCCTAGAAAAGGGCTAAGCCACTGCAGCGTCACACCCTCCAAACCCAAATGTATACTAAGCCCAAACATGCATTATGTAGTGTCCTGATAACGCCTCGCGGACTCTTCCTACAGGAGTACTGAACTGGGGCCTCACCATTGCCAAGAGCGGGTTATGTGCATGACCCAATGCTTTAGGCAGTGGCGGCATGCCTTGTGGGACCTGACTCGCAAGACGGTATGGATTGGGAAAATGATGTGTAGCTCAAGACATTTACGGGTCCTCTTAACAAGCAGCTGGGAAGGAAGTTAGAGCATCGCATTTGTGAGGGTTTTCATATTTTCCATACAGATAAGTTTTTCGGGTTGGCTTTTAATCATCTGGAGAGGCGAAATGGGATGAGCTGAGAATGTGTTTCCATGTTTTTCCCAAAAGCATCTTTGATGTTTGGGTTCTGGCTGTTCTTTCCAAAGCACCCAGGAACAAGGAAGCAGTGCAGGGCAGAATACCTTGCCGAAGGAACTTGAGGGAGAATGATGGAAGCGCGCTGGACGGGCTCGTGCGGGCACGATCAGAGGTCAGGGAACAATCAGCCGAATATCTAACTAGCCAAAAAATTTGAGGGCTGTGCCCTTGCAACGATTCATGCTGCATGGCCCATTTGACAGCAGTGACGAAGAAGACAGCACGCGCATCCGCAGATGCAACAGACAGATTGTCTCTTTGCTCGCCCCGGCAACTGGATAAACATGGTGCCTTACCGGGGCGGAACGCAACACCACCATGATGCACATGATGCACCCCAGGCCGGGGTGCATCATGTGCATCAGCTTTCCCGGAAGCTTGTAGGTGGGATCTGGCAAGATGCTCTGCGTAAACAGCTTTGCTCATAGCTGCGCGCAGCAGCTGACTGCAGCAGTACCTGTTTCAGGCCTATGACCCTTGTTGAATGTCAATGCCCCATAGACGCCGTAGACAACCACAAAGCCTGAAAGAGTTCAACAAACTTAGCAACACCCACCACCAGCAAATGGCATGAAGCAACTAGTTGCGTTTGCAAGGAAGGCCAAGTACAGTGTCGCCCGATTTCTACATGAGTTCTAGACTGGAGCCTCAACTTTTGGATAATGACACAAAACTTTTCTCGCTGCCGGATTCTTTTCTTTTCCTCACTGAACTCTTCACGTTCTCTTCATATTCTTTGGTATCTTCTGGTCGCTTGCTACTTCCTGGCTTGGACGTTCTGCTTCGTCCTCCCACGTCGGCAGCGCCACTGTTTTGCTTTTGGGTTCTCGGGCTCACCTTGTTTCTGGATGCTTGGTGGCTTCAGTCCCATCAGTGTTCTCAAGGATTTTCGTGGACTTGAGGGGTTTGACTACGCCTTGACAACAAAGGACACATGGATTCAAAGCACTCAACGAAGAGCATTGCTTTTTCGTGTCAGGAAGCAATCAAGATATAGATGGGATCTGTCCAGAGGGGACTGTGGGTGTTGCGGCGAAGAGGATTCACTGCATTGACTGCGACGTTGCCCTCATCTCGCTGTTTGCATCATTTAGGATAGACTTCCGGCCTCCTGAGTGCATCAAGGGCTGTGTCCGAGTTTCTGAAGGTGATTGGTAGAGAGCATTGCAGACCACTCCAGGACTTGACTGCCACATTCGATGTGCCGTTTGATATTGATGAAAAAGAAGCATGTCTTAATCAATCGCGCGTGCAGCCACAGCTCGGACCCTGACATTCCACTTGAGGCATTGGCAGTTGTCGCGGGGAAGTGTTAGCACAGGTCATTTGCCTGGAACCCGACAAAAAGGACTTCCAAATGCTTCATCGGCAAGCGGAGTTGGATGAAAAGGTACGTCAGAGAAGCATAGGAGTTCTTGCTGGAAGTTGCTTCTGCGCAAAAAGTGGTGTCCAATGAGGATTCGGTTGAGCGGATGGCCTTAGTGAGTTGAGTCGTCTTCCAGTTGGAGCACTAGACTTGCTTGCGAACGCAAGCACTGCCAAGATCTTCGGGATGACTGGCATGACTACCGACAATCATTTGCTAATTGATGACCTCTTGAATCGAAAGATAATTGATCCGTTGAATGTGATGGCCAATCATTTCCACCCGAAACTTGCCAATCAGGTCGGTGTTTAGGAGGATTTTACTACTTGGGTTGTTTGGTGATCTTACGATCTGTGTTGGTTCTGTTTCTGTTGACCTTAGGCGCTGCTTTGTTCATAGAGTTGGGGTGGCCTGCGAGGGTCTCCGAAAAGAGAGACTGCTTCAGATCTATATAATGTCCAGTTGGCGGTTTGCTTTGATCCTGGTGTTGACACTGAGCTGCAGAGTTTGAGGCGACGGGAGGTTGATTGATTGCTGGGTGCACCTATTGTCTTCAAAATGCTATGCCACTGGCTGGCTCCGCACCATTATAATACAAGCAAACACAGCTCGATTGATGCGCAGCAGTACATGCTCACAGGTCAGGCCTGTCACATGTCCTACGTCCTCCTACAGTTGCGTCCACACATTCCCTGCAACCAAAACAGGCATGAACTACCTGGCAGGTTTCCCACCAGGTCAGGGTCAGTCATCAAGATCTATGTGTCCTATTTTCTCTGCCCACGTCAACATGTGATCGCGAGATCCACAACCTCTTCATACATCTTCTACTTCCAGTATTCCAAGTCACTGCAAAGCAGACCTGTTATATTATATATCCAAACCAAGCACGTGGTCTCCAAAGCCTCGTCCAAACTGATGTCTAGACCAAACTGAGAAAAGGAGTAAATATGACAGATATGGTGGGCGACTGACAGGGGCAAGAAACACTAATTCAAGGGTGTGAAGAAGTAAGGGAGGAGCTAATTAGGTAGCTTGTGGCTAGGTAAGAAGACAAGGATGACCAACTAGAAAGCTAGAAAGCTTAACATGCTAGCCAGCTAGTAGAAAGGATGCAAAAAGGCGTTCTTCCAAACAGTTCCTGGACTTCTATCGAAATTAAGGTGGCAAGGCAAAGAAAGCACTTCGATATCCAAATACGGTGAGAGCCTCAAAGAGCTTTGCTCCACGATAGCCAAATTTGGACGCTGCAAACGCAGCCGTCGCTGCTTGCGAAGCCGACAATCGGTGCCTCAATGCATTCAGTAGTATCTCAGCGAATCATCCAGCTCACGAGCTCGCTGTTCGAGATCGCCACATCTCAAACTCCAAGTTGATCACCAGCTCCTCGAGGAACAGGACTTTGAAAAAGCTCGCCGTTGAAACACCTGTGAAAACTGGCCTGCCACAGTTCGCTATGTTGAATTTCGCCAACGAGCAGTGCCATTGCAAGCACTGCCAAGTCCTGACCCAGGCGGTCTGTTGTGTGGGATGTTAGACCTTCTGAAGTGAAGGCAGATCGAGCATGGCAAGGCCTCTGCATTCTCTCGACCAGCATTTCTCAGCTTGCCCTTTAGCTCACGTGCCAGTGTCCAGCCTTAAGAAACAACACTAAAACAATGTCAGTGCAGCGTTGCTGTTAGCCTTGACCCGTTGGTCAATCAATCAAGGAGCCAGCTCAAGTCCGCTGGAGCGTTGGAGGTCTGTGGGAACTCGCTGTTCACCAACCTATTCTAAATCACTAAACAAGTGTGTCATATCCCGAGTGTCACATCACAGCAGCAAAGCCTTGTGCGTTGCTGTGGCCATTTTGGGGAAGTTACTTCGTGTTCGCACTCCTAGCTGTGGTCCTGACCCCCAGTGAGTCATGGAGCTCAGAACTTGAATCGCCTGGCTGACACGTAGACGTGCAACTCAAAACTGGCGAGCAATTTACAGTATATAATATAGGTGTGCTATGCTGTGCCAATGTTGTGTTTGTCTTCACCCATCTTCCGCGCGAGTAGTGTGGCATTCGAAATGATAATAATGATATGACATTGCATTTATGACGGGATTGGTGGCCAAAAGCAAGAGGTTCTTCAGGCCAAACAGCCTGTGTGGGGCTCAGTTCAGAAAGTTCTCGGAGAAGCAACGCCTCTGCATGAACTTCCTTGTGAGATCTGAATTCACTCGAACGCCCGCCTCAGCTGCAAGCTGCAAGCTAGTCTTCACCTAGACCGTCCCAGGAAGCAAGTGCTTCTAAAGGCTTTTTGATGTTACTTAAAACGATGCCTTCCAACTCAAACTTCCGCATTCCTTTGCATTCTTATTGCTAATCCAAGAAGCTACAGTATCTGAAGACTCTTACAATAGCCAGCGTCTTTCTACGAAAGGGTTTTGATACCAACCAATACGGATTGTTGCTGCGTTCTTTTTCTGAGTGTGTGGCGAAGGGTTCTTGCTTAGCTTAGCTTTGCGAGTCTGAGGGTGGAGCGTTCTACCGTTTGCAACCGTCAGCAACGTCCGCAACCTTTTGAATGTGACCGATAAGGCCGTGCCGTTCAGGGAAGCTTTTGGAGGAGGTTTTGGATGGAAGCATGAAGTGTCAGATTCGAATGAAATAGCATAGAAACGTAACATGGTGAAGTGTGGAGGATGATTTTACTTCGGAGGTGCAGCGTTCCCTGAGACCATCAGCTTCCTTCACTGCAAACAAGAGTGTCCCACCCACAAGAGTGTCCTACAAGAGTGTCCCACAAGAGTGTCAAACTGTGCATTCGGGTTCGCGGGCTCCCTCTTGCTTGCATGTATTTTCTTTACTAAGCTCTAGCAAGGCTTCTCAAACATTGCGATGATTCCCACCTCTGACGAGATGTTCTCTGGCTGAGGATGAAGGTCACGAAGCGCAATGCCTTCTTGGCTGGATTTCAAGGGGCGCAATCTGGACACAAAACCCTCCGCCCTGAGATGTGGGCATGTCTTAGCCAAATCCTCCACACTGGCATCATCTCGGTGCCTTGCGTAATTTGCAATGCTAGCCAGGCTAGCCTGGCTCTGAAGGGAATCGATCCAATGTTGTGGAAGGCCAGGCCAAATGAAACCATGCCACTGGCCATGGAATTCATTCCCATCATTCAGCGACAGAAGATACAAAAGGACAGAACGTCTCCTTTGAACCCAAAACAAGTGACTGGTCAAATGATGTCGCACGCAGGGTTACAAAACAGCCCTCTGCGGTTGACGTCTGATTCGGTAACCAAACGGTCTGATTCGGTAACTACAAGTATGATTCGGTAACCAAAACCGCTGATTCGAGGACCAAAACCCTCTGATTCGAAAACCAAAAGCGTTGATTCGGTAGATTCGGTAACCAAAGCCACCGACCCGGTAACAAAAACGATGAAACCAAGCCAGTATATAACATTTCCAAAATTATACCAGCATAGACCCCAAGCAGCTTCAAAACGATTCGTTTAGACCAATATTAGTCAAAAGTCGATTTCTTGGTACGCCCTACCTTCACCCCAAGAGCAAACTGCTTCATCAATGAATTTTTGTCGGCATTGACATCGCTATTTGTTCGGCCACACTCCTCTCCAGTAAGCCGGGCCACCGAGACCAGCCACAGAGTTCAGGGGCGCGGCCAAGACAAGGACAAGAGGAGGACAAGAAGAGGACAAGAAGAGGACAAGAGGAACAAGGCCCAGCCACAGAGCCCAGCCACAGAGGACAAGAGGAGGACAAGGCCTGGACACAGAGCCCAGCCACAGCCCAGCCACAGGTCAGGGGCGCGGCCACGAGGAGGACAAGAGGAGGAAAAGGCCTGGACACAGAGCCCAGCCACAGAGGACAAGAGGAGGACAAGGCCTGGACACAGAGCCCAGCCACAGAGCCCAGCCACAGAGGACAAGAGGAGGACAAGGCCTGGACACAGAGCCCAGCCACAGAGGACAAGAGGAGGACAAGGCCTGGACACAGAGCCCAGCCACAAAGCCCAGCCACAGATTTCAAGGGCGCGGCCAGTGAGTGTGGCCAGCTCTTTTTTTCTAAGATAGAACCCCAACAGTAAACTGTTTGGGGAAAAAGAAGAAACCGAAGATCCGGGTAGTGGTAGTAGTAGTGGTAGTAGTGGTGGCAGTGAGAGTGGTGGTAGTAGTAGTAGCAGCAGCAGCAGCAGTAGTAGCAGCAGCAGCAGTGGTAGTAGCAGGAGTAGGAGTAGGAGTAGGGGCAGGAGAAGGAGAAGGAGAAGGAGTAGGAGCAGGAGTAGTAGTAGTAGTAGTAGTAGTAGCCGTCGTCGTAGTGGTAGTAGTAGTAGTAGTAGCAGCACTTCATCAAAACACAACCAAGACTGCGCGCGTGTCTCTCTCTTGGTGGTCACAAGCACATAGACCAACAAAAGCTTTTGGTCGAACTATGCCAAACTAGCATGGCAGAATCCTCAACAAGTTCATCTTCATCTTTCAAGCTTACAAATGTTCGTGAAGATGTCGTCGCTTTTAGGGGCAGCGTACTACACTCCACCATAAATACAACGATCAGGGAAATACGATGCAGAAACCAACCGAGTGTTTCCAACCATATGCCGCAAATACCGACATATTCTGAAACCCTTTGCATCCACATGCATGGTTCCCTCCCACCCCACACTCCTCCTCCCCTCCACCCCATTGAAACCATCGTCTGGCTTGGTTTTTGAATAGTCTGACTTGGTTTCTGCATCGGTTTCTGAATCGGCTGTTTTGGTTTCTGAATCGTAGTTGCTGAATCGCCTGGTTTGGTTTCTGAATCGTCCGACTTGGTTTCTGAATCGGCTGTTTTAGTTTCTGAATCGGCTGTTTCGGTTTCTGAATCGGGACTCGCTTGGTTTCTGAATCGGCCCATTTGGTTTCTGAATCGGGTCATTTGGTTCCTCTCTCGGACAATTTGGTTTCTGCCTCGGACTGCCTTGGTTTCTGTATCGTAGTTGCTGAATCATAGTTTCTGAATCGGCTATATATGTTGTTTTCTGAATCGTAGTTTCCTGATCGGTTGGTTTCTGAATCGGCAAATGTCCACCCTCTGCTGCTGCATCAACCTTGAACCTCAAAGTTCTGCAGTGATGAAGCTCAGCTTGTCACTGAAGCAAGAGCCCAACATGAGTGAGACTCCTCTGAAGGTATTCGCCTTGCCTGCAAAACCAACGACATGGAGCCATAGCAGTCTTTCTCGCACAGGTGTTCACTTCCGTCAAAAACCAGGTTGAAACAGGACACAGTGGATCGCCTGAAGCGAGGATTGGCAAAGGCTTCAAGCAGCACTGCCACGTCAGGCAGCTGAAACATTGGCAGCCTCTCGAATTTACAACTTCAGTGACCATATGCATGTATGTGTATACATAATCATATATAATACAGAATACAGGCCTGCCTGCGATGGAGGCGTCCGAGGTATGTTGTCAAAAAGTTCTGATCAAACCAATCAGCACCTTGAAGCTCCAAGGCTGTCGCATGTCAAGTCCTGTTTCTGGCTCTCACATGTTTCATGCTGAGCTTCGCACGCGCAAATGCGCGGAAAATGTAGCACAAGTCAGGCTGACAGGCGTCAAAGTCAGAAGCAATTCGATTCAAGAGAAGTTCAACTACCACAACAGTCCCGACCACAACAACGGCAAAGCGCATTTCAATCAACCAACGGGCCAATCACCTGTCAAAGAGTTTGTTGAGGTTTACGGTATGTCACTGAGCCGGGTTGGTTGTACTAGTATGGGTCTTGCAAGTATTGTCAGTCTTCGTCGGTATCTCGTGACACACCCTGACAATTGACCAGCAATCGATCATCCGGCCCATGGTCACATTGGAATCTGTAAAAGGTCGATGCCAAAGCCTGTGGATTACGCTAAACCGATTGAACTTGAAAATCGGCGTTTCAGAGAGCAAATCCATCTGTATGAAGGCATTGAGACTGAATTGCCAGCAAAGCATTGTACTTTGGGGGCGTAGCTACAGAGGTGCTGCAAACAATTCTCTTCCACAATCCGTTTAGGCTGTGTGGCGACGGTCCGCAGCGCCACCACTGCCAGCACATGCAAGACTTCCGGACTCTTAAAATATCCATTGCTCACAAAGAGGGTCACCTCTAGTCAAGCAGAACTCAATTGCTCACCTTGTCTACACTTCGCCTGTACCAGGTGCATAAATCAGAAATACCACCACTTGCGGAGAGGCAAAACAGAAAGCAAGATTGGTTCGAAGGTGTCTCTGTCCTTGAGTTTTGCGAGTGTCCAGGATAGAGGGCAATCCGTGCTCAATCGGTGGTGATTTGTAGTGATCTATGGTTCTCTGTGGTTATTGATTCGGTGATTTGATGATAGCAGTGATAGGTCATGAAGAGATCTGTCCTTTGTTGCGTTCTTGGGGTGGTCCAGGAAGGATGAACTTGTGGCGATCTGCGGTGATCTGCTGTGGTTTCTAGACGGATGGTGTACAAATGTTCTGGAATCGAAAGGGCTCTTTCGTTCATCATAAAAGAGTGCAAGAATTTATCCCTTGAATTCAATTTCACTTCTGTGCAAGGTGGGTCAACTGAAAGTTGAGAGGGCACTGACAGCAACCCTGTTCTTGTGAAATATGTTAATAGTCAATAAGAAAATTCCTGTGCTGCTGCATCAAGCAAAGTGTGCGTGTGTGTGTGTGTGTGTGTGTCTGTGTGTGTGCGTGCGCGCTCCCATGTCCGTTAAGCAAAACTTTAGCTGAACTCATTCTGACAACCCAGCAGCACAAACCAGAGCACAGAGCACTCAAAGTGTAACAACAAGCCATCAAGCCATGCCCAAACTATATATGTATATAACTCTTTAGTGAAACAAACACTTGCGACAAGTAGTCCTTGATCCCTGCCCCTTCGGCCTCATGAGTGCGAGCACAAAGCTGCTGGGCACGCCAAGCAAACCTCACACTCTGACACTTGTATTCAGTGAACTCAGTTACCACGTTGGGAA